AATTCTTGACTAACCTGATATTTACAAGAAACATGAGATTACAGTCCTGCGTTGGGTTTATCTCCTGCCAGGATGAGTGAGATCTCCAAACCTCTGCTAAATGCCTGATTGAACATAAGTCGAGTCTGGAAGGTCGATACAAAGGGAAACCAAGATAAGATGACGATCGGCACAAAGATGAGCATTCCCATGGCAGCATCATAAAGACGTGCAAGTGACCGCACTGTTTTCCACAGCCGTAGCTTCTTCACCAGGGGCCTCCATGCCACAGCAATCTGATTTGCATGAACATGAAATAATTAAATAATATTTGAGATTACTAAATAATATCTTCATGTTTTAATCCATAGATGGGGACGAAAACAAAAGCAAAGATGCATTTCTCAGATATACCAAAGTTTATGACACCCTGTTTATGAGTTCTTGAGGCATTCTTATCACACTCAAACTAAACCATATGATCAACAACTGTTTATTTATCATTATGCTCTAATTCATGCATTTTGGCACTTTGGCTTGTTCTATGCATCACTTATATTGTGGTTCTCTACAAGTAGTTATTGTGTTAGTTCTTCATCCAGACACTACATGTACAAGCTTGAAGTGCAGGATCAGAAACATGATTCAATGGATAAATCTACAAAGCCTATCACGCCTCAAAAGTCTGGCAAATGATATATTTCTAGTGACTAGGGCCACTTGACTAAAGTCACTGGAAGAGAACACCACATTATTATATTTTTGTGATGGTAAAGAGGAGCTCTTTTAAGCCTGATAACTGCTGCTAAAAATAATATCGAAGCAGCTCAAGCATTTCTAGTATCCGGAGTATATATGTATGCAAGTGTAACCTGTTTCTTTCCTCTTCCTTGACCTCATTTTCAGTTGCAAGTGTATTTAATAATATAATGACATTTTGACCCAAGCTATTTCTCCAACCTGATGGCAACTAAAAGGTTCAACACCATGGCCTCCTATTTGGAATAGTACTCCACCATATCAGGTGTGGTATCCACAGACTAAATATATGCAGTGAATTTGAGAGCTGAAGATATGTCATGCTAGACTTCTGCCTTTTGAATGAATAAGGGAACTAAGTGAACATTTGTTCACCAAAATGAATACATATTTAACATAAAAAAAGACAGCTAAAGTGGTGATTGCTTGTGCAATGTTGCAATACTATCAACTTACTGCTACAGACCAAGTATATCAAGCTAGATTGTCAGGCACTAACAGCTGGTACAGACGATAAAAAAATAACTAAATAGGACGTGAAGTGATCAACTGATATGCTATAAATCAAGATAACAGAAAGAAACAAGAGAGTTTTCATCTGGAGGAAGATTAAAAAAAGACTATGCTGATGTGGTACTTACAGAAAGAATTCCCCAACCAGTGGGTAAAAATGCTAAGATGCACGCAAAGACATCTGGCACAGATAAACTTGTGAGAGCAACTGCCGCAGCTATACCAGCTAATGCTAGAAAGAATGATATGCTTTGGATAAGCCGTAGTAGCAACTGTAGATTTACAGATGCCTTCTGACTGAAGGTAAACACCTGGCAACCAGAAATCTAGTCAGAAACTGAACCTTAATATCATAATACTATCTCACTTTAACATTCAGGAGGCACTCTAGAGACCTGGAAAAGAAGAGTCAGTGCAGCTAGCACAATCCATGACAGACCATACACCTGCAATCAGTAAATAATTTCTTATATTTTCTGTAAGAAAAAATTTCACAAATGATGCCAAATAATTATGTAAAAGCAACTCTTTCTATGCCGTCCTTCTAGAAGGAAACCAAAGGACTTGAGTTGAGAAGAGATTTGTACTATAGGATTTGACAAAAGAAAACCAAAATAATTAACCTGGGAAAAATATTTTCTAGCCAGCACTCATATCCAATGAGATGAACTGTGGAATTGATAGCTAGATAGACCCAGATAGTAAACATAAACAAGAATCATAATATATGGGGCCATGTAAGATCAGTTGCAGTTGAAACCAGATAGAGAGAGGAAAGGTATCCTTATAAATGAAGGTTCTTGATTTAAACGCACAGACACAATTTATAAGAGACCATGGAGCTATTGCTAGGAAGATGGTGTATTCAATAAAGAAAATGGGTGCCCTGATAGAGAGACAGATTAGTCATTGTTTCCTTCTTTTGTTCTTTGTGCAGTATCTTTAATTTAGTGATACGCACTAGATCATAAAGCTAAATTTACCATTGGCTTAACGAAAACTTCACAATGATCATAAAGCTAAATTTAGACCTCCAGGACCAAAATGCGTAAGATAACGATCAATACAAAAGAAATTAACAAATAACGTAAAAATATTTTTACTGTAACAACTTTCAGAGACTACTTTAAATCGATGTAATGGATATAACCATAGGCATAACTATTCTTACATCAATCTAATTGGGAAGATAAAACTCTGATTATGATTAGTCACGTCTTCCAATCCATAGGCATAACTATTCTTACATCAATCTAATTGGGAAGATAAAACTCTGATTATGATTAGTCACGTCTTCCACATAATCAAGGATTAATTACATTTCAGTACCCTGAGGTATAGTATAACTACAAGGGTGATCCCGGAGACTGCATATCTACAGGGGTGACCTGAAATTGTAGTTGTAATAACACAGGCGACCCTGAAACCTGGACAACAAGCAACTCTCAAGGTTACCTGTATGAATACAATCAGTAATCCTAGGGTTACCTTTGTAGATGCAGAGACTCAGGATCACCGGTGTAATTAAGCCATACCTCAAGGCTCAAGGTACAGGTTTGTAATTAATCCCATAATCAATTTACGGACGATTGCAAGCTTTTTACAACTTGTATAACCGAAGACAGTTATTTGGTCTTTGAACTGCTTGATGAATCAGCTAAAAATTTCCCTATTACAAGATCTCTAAAAGATGAGTGAATTGAGAACCAACTACAAAGCATTTATAAAAGTTCCTAAATTAAAGAAAATTAAACCTTTAATTGGAATAAATATTGCTGAGAGGTAGTAGTAGTCACGACTAGTAACTCAATGAATGCGTCATTTTTCGATATTCTGGAGGCCCCACATTCCCAATCCCTTAATCTAGCTCTGTTGTCCCCAATAAAAGAAGAAAACTCTATGCACAGTTGGAAACAGAACTCCTAGTAGGAAAGACTCTTTAAAAGTACTTATTGCATCCCATGTCATCGTAAATACCTATGAAATTAAAATAGAAATTTTACAAGACAACTACAAGACCAACAATGTGTTATGATCTGATAATTTATCAATTAAAACCATGCAGTAAATGAGCGCTACACAGATGAGAACTTCATAATGAACCAGTAAATATACACTAAAAAGTAGATAAGAAATGAATGCATTAGGAAGTTCGAGGTCGCTAAGATAAGAAATGTATGCATTAGGAAGTTCGAGGTCGCTCCTATTAAGGATAGGATTCAAATGGACCAATTGAGATAGTTTGTCCATGTGCGATCAGCTTAAGAAATTATGTCAGAAAAATGACATTTCAAAGAAAGCAACTTAGCCTACTTTAGTCAAAATCTGTACAGGAGGGGAAATCAAGTGCAGCAGAAGGCTCAAGAAAAGGAATGAGTAAGATTTTATGACCTTCACCTGCCAGGCTCCCCCCCCCCCCCCCGTTGATCTCCCGTGGGTTTATTAGATCCATAACAACTAAAAGTTCTTTGAGACATAGGTTGCTTTGGGAAACATGCAGGAGGGCATGAGTGGGTTCCCCGTAGGCTTTCAGAAAGAAAGCTTCTGTTCATTAAATATATACTACAAGGTTACCATGTTTCTTGCCGGTTACATCAACATTGGTGTATTAATATTAAGAGACAGAAGGGAAGATACGTAACAGACAGAGTTAGATGAAAAATGTGATATCAGATGTAATCAAATCATAACAAGCATATGAAAATAGGCAATATTAACTGTACATAAAAAACGTGGCAGGGTGGCAGTGGCTAAATGTTTGGGTGATCTAGGTTGTTTAACTCTTCAATTGATCATTTAATAAATATAAATGTATTTACAGAATGGAAGGGGTTTTACCGTCAATGATGTGTCTGATCCAGTTAAATGCAACTTGTAAACAATGCCATATTGGAAGATAAAAAACCTTAAGCTTAAAATAGTCTCCAAAATCCTCCCACGCAGTGTACGGATATGTACCTGCATTTGCTATAACATAAGAAGATATCCCAGAAGATTGCATCCATTACGAATCAGTACAAATTTAAAATGCATTATATGTCCGCACAACATGATAAAAGGGTGAATCTCTCGGATACAATTTGAACTCAAACCATATTGGTGCAAAAGGAAATGGTGGTTTTTCAAATGATTTGACAGTAACAAGTAACCAAGATGCATGACACAGACAGAAACGGTAAACCCAAAAAGACGCAGGAGCACAACGAAAGCGAGAAAAATTATATGCATGTACGTAGGGCTTGAGAACAAGTTTTGCATTCACTCCAAAAAGTAGGAATTAGTAAATTCACCCCAAACTTGCTTGCGCCCACCATTACTCCTGAAAAGGTAGGGTTGTGTGATAAGGTTTGATCCTCCCAAGGATAGAACTTGAGGTTTGTCTTAAGATTTTTACGCCAACAAAATTTGATGGTTAGCACCATTAAGGGCCACATATGCTATTTATCTCGACCATCTAAGGTATGAATCAAGTGGTACTTTCTTTAACTATTAAGATTTACACAGAACACTGGAACCATTAAATGAGTGGACTGAAAATCTCCATAAACATAACTCCGTATCAATATACATATTAACACGTAATCAGCAGTTAGGGAAAAGTACAGTTTGTTAATAACACAGTACCCCATCTAGTCGTTAAACTTAAATGAGGCAAGCAACATAAGTGTGGTCACCTCTGATTACTTGGTTTAACAACTTACAAGATAAACCTTCACATGATCAAAAACAAAAACAAAAAACAAAAACAAAAACAAAAAAAAAACAAAACAAAAGGAAAGGTAAAACCAGACATCATAATCATAAAGGTTACATCACTTCTAGAACAATGGAAAACTCATCTGAAATACAATGTGAAGAAACTACACATCAAGAACTCGAACAGAACTTTTCTAAATTAATTATAACAATTTTTGGCATTTTGATGGAGTAACCACAAACCAACAGTTAAAACGCATCCATCTTTCTTTCAATATTTATTTCTCAAAACCAATAATTTTGGACCGAAACTAAAATATGTGTTCTTGTTTACCAGTTCCTCTTCCCACCATGCCTCCCAGCTTTCCTCTCCTTTAACCCCAATCCCACCTCTATAAAAAAGCCAGTCTGTCCAGTGCCGGAAATCTTCCACAGTCCTGTAGAGAGAAAAAAGTATCGGCAAGCAGTAATCAATTGTGTATTTCCGCGTGTCAAAGAGGGGAGGGGAGTTTTTTTCTTTTTTTGGGGTGGGGTGTTGAGGGGTTGGGGTTTTTTTTTTGGGGGGGGAGGGGGTTTGGGAGCGGGAAGGACGCGGGGTTGATGTGAAAAAGTTTACGAGCATGTACCAGAGTTTATTATGTATCTGTGGCCAATGAACATGCATGTGATACAGTCACGAGCAAGAGCATGCCATCATTTATTGTATATGTATAGGCCCACATGTCAATGTAAATACACATTTTTAGCACGTGTTGTGCATTGGTGGTTTTTATTTATTTATTTATTTTAATTTTTTTGGGGTGGGGGAGGGGGTGGTGTTGTGGGCGGGAGAGGGTTGTGGAGATTAGGTTTAGACCATCATAAGGGAGAGAAGATGCACTCACTTCTGCCACTCAAACCCTGACGGGTTGAAAATGTATGGAGCAAAAAGCCAAGAGAGTGCCATATACCAACTGCTAATGGAAATTAGGATGTAGGCCACAGCTCCCTTTTTTGTGTACCCATATGCAAGGTACACCACAAGCAGAATTACAACTTCAAGCCTACAGATTGAGAAATATGCATCACAGATGTGCTTACAAAAATTAGAAATTTTAAAGGATAAACTATTACATGAGAAAACATACCCTTTAACAAAATGGCTGCGGGAATAAATTCTGTAATTTTCTGAAAACTTGATGTGGCGAACAACAAAGCCTCTCCCAGTTGCTTGGTACTGTTCAAAATTGATTGGAAATGTTAAATAGATAGTTCTTTTAAACAAGGAAAATATCAAACAAAGAAGAGGAACAGAATTCCTTGCCCTTGCACCACCATGGAGTATTGTTCGGCCAAAGTAATGAGTTCGTGTTCCAAGAGAGAATGTGAAAAAGACAGAGCATAGCTGAAATTGCGTTGTAGTAAAGCTAACAACAGCCTGCAATGGGCAGCATAACTTGTAAGGAAAGGCTAATTCACAAATAACTACTAATCTCCTGACAGTGATTATAGTCACAAATATTTGAGATCAACCAACAAATTAATAACATTCTGTAACTACATTGTCCCACAGAATCCTGAAGAAAAAGCTGACAATCATATGAGTTTTCTGCTAGAGAAGTCTGAAATAAAAGTTTGTTCCCTATACCAGATTTACTAGATAGTCCATAGTGAAGTTTCCTCCCTTTATGTGACAATAGCAACATTGCTAATGCGCATAAGTAACCTAAGATGTCACTTCTGCACGTATACAACCAACTGCCAAGTAATGGATGATTCTAATAGAAGCTATTAACTTGACTCGCATGACAAAATATGCAATAATCAATTATGCGTCCTAATTTTCAAGCATTTTACACATTTTTTAGCATGAGTAACCTAACGCATCACTTAAAGTTCCTCATGTCTACAGCCAATTGTCAACAAATAGATGCTTCCAATAGGAACCTGGCTCGCATAACCCACATAAAATATGCATTAATCAATTGAACTTCCAAATCCTCAAGAATTTTTTTCCTACATTCAATAATGTGAACTGCAGTCCTTCGCGACTTGCAGACGTAGTTATCTCTGCAAATCTCCAAATTGAACATTTGTCACCAACATAATGATTCACATATCTTTACAGGTCATGCTGATGTGGGAGCAAAAGGGTCCAAATTGCGAATTCGGCTTCTCTGGACTGTGTGCATGGCTTTAATTGATCGGACCATAACTTTCTCTTGAGAAGTACAAAAGACATCTCGTTTAAAGTGATCCTTAGATATTTGGGTCTAGTTTCGGTAAAATCAAACTTTGCATAATTTGGAAATCTGCACTGAGAGGTATAGTGAAAATACAGCACGGAGGTCAAGTCTAGATCACATGAAGTCTTTTACATTTTCTAGGTTATTTAATTAGCCAAATGAGTCTATTAGTTTCTCATTGTCACTAAATTTCTTTTAGACTCATGAATCTTCCATGCTTGAAGGTTGTTTCAAGCCTATATATAGTTTTGAAGTCTAAGGGAAAAGTACAGTGTGTTGCGTTTAATTATAGTTAAGCCTTGTGCTTTGTGTTTGCTCTAATAATGTTACATTAAACGTTGGGCGCTTCTAGGCATCGAACTTGGCGCCCAGCGCTTAGTCGCCTAGGCGGGCGCCTAAGCGGTTTCTGGGCGTTTTTTTTTCTTTCTTCATTTAAGTGGTGGTCGATGAGGTTTTGCTGAAGGTCGGAGGAGGTAGTGGAGGTGTTCATATTTGGATGCAATCCACGTAAGCAGACAATGCTCCTCTAAACGCTCGTAAAATTTAGGTGAGCAACCTATATACTGCCTAGGCGCTAGGCGCTAGTTAGGCGGCCTATGTACCGCCTAGGCCTAGGCGTACGTCTAAGCGGACTAGGCGGGGTTTTTTTAAAAACAGCGTGCTCTACATTACATTGGTGAATTCCATTAAGTGTCAGCGCTCTCCTATATCTCTGAGATGGGGTCCTTAGATTGGTGACAGCCATATTTCTCTAGACTGGTGAATCTGTATCTCTAGAGCGGTAGGCTAAACCCCAATTATTGTCATTTATTCTATGGTGGTGTGTCTATATCCTTAAGAGTAACCAACATCATATCCTCATTTCCTCATATTTTCCTTTTATCCACCTTGCTCATACCGTCCCGGCATCTTTTGGTATCAGAGCTCATGGTGATCGTGGCTGGAGGACAACAACAATATTGGTGCAATACTGAGGCAATGCAATCTTCACATCGCCGAGGTGGATAAAGTAAGAATGCAGTCTCAACAACTTCAAGAGGGTCTTGCACAATTAGAAACCCAACGATTTCTGAAGCAACAAAAAGAGCAACATGAGAGTCTACAAGATTTTGATTCCGAGAGGTATTGACATTCCCTTGATGAGAATGAATTGGTTAATTATTTTTATCTTGATCTTCTTTCTCTTCAAGTGCAAAATCTCCACCTCTTTTCGATAATGAGTCACCACCAATCTCTGATGAAGATCAAACAAAAAATATTGTGTATGAAGATCATGGAGAGCCACCAACCATTGATGATAATCCACCTGAATATACCATTTATGATGGGCTTAACGAGGCCATTTTTAATCTTACAAATTTTGGACATGGCACAATTTCATCAAGAAGTGAAGAGATACGCTTAGGTTTTTATATTGGTGGTAAAAAAGGATACTAGAAAAGATAACGAATCTCTACTAATGGTGATTCTTCAAGAATTTTACTATATTGTTCTAGAGGCGATTTTCAACGGTTTTCCACTTATCAAAGGCATAAATATTCTATTGCTCTTGTTCCTGGTATTGCTCTTCCAAATAATCCCACTTACTTTATTAATTTGAAAGAAAGAGAGAAACTGAATCAAGAAGTTGATTCTCCAAGTTTGATCGACATTCAAATATATATCAGGAATCATGAAAAGCATATGATGCGTATTCGCGAAGTTCTTGAAGTCTTAGTCAACTCAGTGAGAATGCATACAACGTTTGAAAGACTAGGACTTACTTCCGCCTTCCATGTTTTAGTCCCGCATTCCTTTAATTTCAGTGAAGAATCAAGGACGATTCTTTTTCCAACTCAGCAAGAATGATGCAGGAGCAAAGGGGTCCAAATTGCAAATTCGGATTCTCTGGACTGTGTGCACGGGTTTGATTTATCTGGTCATAACTTTCTCTAGACAAGTCCAAAAGACATCCTGTTTAAAGTGAGCCTTAGATACTTGGGTCTAGTTTCGGTAAAATCAAAGTTTGCATAATTTGGAAATCTGTGCCGAGAGGTATTGTGAAAATACAGCAAGGGGTCGAATCTGGATCACATGAAGTCTTTTATATTTCCTAGGTTATTTAGTTAGTCAAATGAGTCTTCTAGTTTCTCAATGTCATTAAATTTCTTTTAGATTCATGAATCTTCCATGCTTGAAGGGTTGTTTCAAGCCTATATATAGTTTTAAAGTTTAATGGAAAAGTATAGCATGCTGAGTTTAATTATAGTTAAGCCTTGTCCTTTGTGTTATAAGTTTGATGATATTTAAGCCTATATATAGTTTTAAAGTCTAATAATGGAAAAGTATAGTGTGTTGAGTTTTGATTATAGCTAAGCCTTGTGCTTTGTGTTTACTCTACATTTCATTGGTGGATTTCATTGAGTGTCAGTGCTCTCCTGTATCTCCAAGGTTGTATCTCCACGGTTGGGTCCTTAAAGAGTAGTGACCACCATATTTCTCTAGAGTGGTGAATCTATATCTCTAAAGTGGTAGGCTAACCCCACAATTATTATCATTTATTCCAAGGTAGTGTGTCTGTATCCTTAAGAGTAACTGACATCCTATCCTCATTTTCTCATATTTTCCTTTTATCCATCTTGTCCATACTGCCCCGACAGCACATGCACCCTAAATCAAGGACTTAAACACCCCGTCAATTGATGTGACATAAGTCATGGTTATGGGTACGGGTGCTGGCATGAATACAGATACGGGACATGACAAATTTGCAAAAGGTAGGGTACAAGGACAGAACTGAAACTCATGGACTGTAATCTTAATTCTGAGCAAGATATCCAAAGGATGCATTGAATTTATTCTTCTGAAGGTTGAAACAAACTCGATCTTTTCCCAATAAGTTCAAAAAATGGATGTGTAGTGTAGGATTTATGTCAAAAAAATGTACGTGGAGTTTTTTAAATTAAAACATGCTGTATATTTGAGTTCACGTCTGAAATCTGAATAAATGTATGCATATTTAAGGAGTGTCCATGAAGTATCAGCTAGAAGCAGTGTTTTACATGTCGGCCGACATATCGGATTTAGGGGCCAACCGACACGATATGAAGCTTTTCAATGCGTATTGCGTTTTCAGGGTTCATATCGGATATATCGAGGGATATGTCGGATATGTCGGGCGAATATGTCGGGTGATATATTGGTTATGTCGGCTGATTTTTCAGTTTGAAAAATTGGCTGGTTTTTTTATTTTTTTGGCTATGTTTGTCTAATCAGGTTTGAGTTTAAATTCTTGACTATCTTAATATTACTTAAAAAGACAAAAACCGATAAGTTAAAGGAAATGAAAAAAAAGACCGAAATAATATTTGTCGCTCATCTTCTCTCTCTCCTTCGACATCGCATCGGTCTCTTCTCCGAGCTATTCCTTCAACATCAATATAGGACGATCTTCTCTCTTCTTAACTGCTAATATCGGATTTCTCACATCTTTCCTTCAACGTCAATCCTAAGCATCATAAGTTATTTACTCTTTTATATGTTTAGACAATAGAATTTTTTAAGTCTATTTAGATTTTATTTATGATATTTATATTACACATATGCACACCATCCGATATGGCAATCCGATACTTTTTTCATGTCCCCCGACATATCCCCGATTTCCGCTATCCAACATGAATTTTAGTCATCCAACATGAACCCGATATCCGACGTTTAAAACTTTGACTAGAGGTACGGGTACGACATGTGTCAGGTACAAGTATGTGGCAGGTGTGATAGAAATACCAAGGTAACACAGGATGTAACTAGTAGTTAAAAAATCAATGGTTTTAAAGATTTTTTTTAACAAATTGATCCATAGTGGTAAAAATAAAACCCTAAGCCACTAGAATCAGTTCTTAGTGAGCTTCCAAATATTTAAAATATGAAAATGAAATGGTTTTTATTTGGAACTTCTCAAGATGGGGAAAAAACTAAATATCCCTCTACTTACACATATATGTGCACAAATATAAGCATCCGTATTATGATGTAATGTATGCAGCATTGCTTCATGTCAGCAATTTTGTTTGGTATGCTTGAGTAAATTTCTTGCAGTTAAAAGCTTATTTTAATTATAAAATATGAACAGAGAGAATAAGCAGAATCAGAGAGCAGTAAAGGCATAAGAGGATGCCCCCAAGTATATATATATATGCCTGGCGTTGTGTTGGATCTAGGGGAAGCATTATAGGTAGACTTTGACACCCGCAAATATGCATGACCCGATAATATGTCAGGACATAGAATTTCCGACTCTCAAATACACATGGCTTAAAAGGGTAAGATCTGCACACTGTCAGACAGGTTACAGCACCCTCAACAATGCATGGGCAGGAAAGAGATACTAATTTCGCAGGTCTAGATTTTGGTGAAAGGTTGGCAAAGTAAAAACCAGGTTGGACCCAAATTTATACATATACTAAAGTTAACTCGGATGAACAGTGCTTACCTACAGTTCATCCCAGTTAACTTTAAATATATATATATAAAACAATTATAAGGGTGTGTTTGATTTGGTACAGTTGGATCTGCAAATGCATTTGTAGTAACAAGGTCCAACTACATGTGTCGGAGTTGCATTCTATTGTTTGGGTGACATGTTGATTCCACTAGGTGTGCGATAAAATCAATGTTTGCTTGCATGGAGCTGTAAACACACAGATACATAAATTATGGATTCCTCCTAATATGAATAAGAAAATATAAACTTTTTTAAAAAAATACTTCTTTAACAAAAAAGTAGTTGAATTCTGCCTTCAAATTTTTTGAAAATTATATATTTTATAACTAATAAACTTTGTCCAATATATTTAAAAGATTAATTTTTCTGCATAATATTTTGTGAGTTTCATTTACCTATTTTTATAAATTTTCTTACAAAAATTAGTAATTTCTTCTTATTCATTTTAGAATACTTATCACAAATTTTTCCCGAATTTCATCAATTAAATTCTAGGAACTTGCAAAAATTACAGAAAATGTTTTTTTACCAACAAAGTTATTTTCGTTCAATTTATATTACAAGATATATTTTTTATAAAAAGTTTTGAATTTTGTCTAACATATTTCTTAGTTTGCACCTAAAAATAATAAATTTTTTTCAAGTACATAAAGGGAATGCAATAAAGAGTTTAAGGTCTAAGAGTCTTTATCTTAGAATGCAATAAAGAGTTTAAGGTCTAAGAGAGGATAAATTTGAAGTTGGAACACAAGTTATTTATCCAAAACTATAGAGGAAAAAGTTAAAAAAAAGAAAAAGAAAAATGTCATTGTATCACATGTTGCAACACACATCAATTTGGGTGCTGTTGCAACACATTTATTTTGAAGATTTTTTGTTGTTACAACACTTGGAAATTGTAACACTGCCAAATTAAACTCCTGTGTACCCTGGAGAACCGCATATAGCTCCAACACCATCAAACCAAACATCACCTAAGACACTTAATCAGTGTACAAGCTAGGCTACTGGTACTACTGTCCAATGTCTTTTGGGAAGTATTGGGATCGAGTCATGGAGCGGGCATTTATTTTGTGGCTTTTTTCTTACACCCAAAGTTTTTTATGGCTTTTTCTTACACCCAAAGTTTGACCCCAATTTAGTTTTATACACCCACATTAAAAGTTGGTATTTGCCTGTAAATCCAAAGTTTTACCCCATTCATTTTTTAATGACCTACTCCCAGAATTTGATTAGGATTTTTTATCTATAAATCAAAGTTTTATCCCAATTTATTTTAAGCCCACCCATTTCTGAAGACTCTTTCGCCCATAAACAAAGTCTGAAAGTCTTATCCCTATTTATTTTTAAATGCACCCTCTTCCAGAAAGGATAATTTCTCAATGAACCCAAAGTTTTACTCACATTATTGTTAATCCTACCCACTTCCAAAATCACTACCAACGTAAAAAGCTCGATATATGGTACAAATTAGTATATTGACATAGTTTAATATATATTTGTTGGTAATATGGTGTGTTTTGAACAAAATGCTTAACCTGTTATTTTGTTGGCTCTGTTCTTACTAATATCGCATCATGAACAATAGATGGATTAAACTCAAAGTTTTATCCCCATTTATTTTTAAACTTGCCCACTTCCAAAAGAGTGCCTATAAAAAACTACAGTTGAGTTTAGATTCTTCCAGAACATGTTCCTTTTCTTTCTTAAAAGAACCTCTCGGGTTCCGATGTAGACAGATTTAGGTACACACATACTATTTTTCTTTTTGCCTTTCATTACTTAGTCATTTATTTGATGCAATTACAAACAACCTATTTTAAAACTATTTCCATTGTTCTTTACTATCATTATTCTTCCATCTCATCATCCCCCCCCCCCCCCCCCCAAAAAAAAAAAAAAACCACCCAACAAAAAAAAACTAGTTCTAAAGTCATCCACTTCCAAAGTCATTCTTAGACCTAAAACATTTAATTAAATTAATTTTAAACCCACTTTGTATTCGAGCATTCTGATATTCGGCATATGTTAGTATATTCTGGTGTAACATGCTATACTCTTAGTAATTAGTTGCATGATACATTTTTAAATGGAATGCTCATACTAATGTTGCGGCATTGCGCGAGTCAATTTTGCTTGTAGTCCACTAGAACTTACAAACGTTATCAGATACATCTCGAAATCTTCAGTCTCAACTAAATTTGTTATTGACCTAGGACAGCACATAGGTTCATACAAACAAGGAACCAATCTGTAAGTAGTCGCAGGTCAATTAATTTGACCCTGACTCTGAATGATTTGTCTAAAGTTCCAGATAAAAACCAGGGTCCAATAATGAACATAGTTTGGTTCCGGATCACAGGATAGCCCTAAACATGAAGGCACTTAGTCCTTGAATAATCGACAAACTGTTTTCACAAGGTACATAATGTGATAAGGTACCACGTGACTTCATAAAAGTCATTTATTGAGATTCAGCAAAAGGAATTACTTTGATAACCAAATACATCTTTAGGTGCTAATTACATCAAAATGATTGTAAGACAAACATATAGAGATTTAGGATCAAAGCTTTATAGTAGTATATTATATAATGAAGTGAAAAAGTAGTATACTATATAATGAAGTGAAAAAGTAAAGTGAGAACCTATACCTTCAGAAAACCTTGCTCAAGGATGGAACCTAATATCATTGGAACAGCTGTGAAGAGCCCAATTTGGAAAAGGAACTGTGCATTGAGAGCAGCATCTAATGCAGTGTTATCCAATATATCAGCTCTATCCTGAATTTGTTCGCCAACTCCAGATAAAGCCTGAGGAGAAAAGTTAAATTGTAGTAACGTTTCATGCGACAACTTGAATGATAAAGTAAGAAATGAACTAATAGCTGAGCTTTTATAATTAACATTTATGTTTCAGGAATGTTGGATAAATGATGTCATATACCTGAAGCAGGTAATCTTGTGTATACACCAAGAATATTGACCAAATAAGTATAGAAACGTAAATATAAATACAACATTGTATGTTGTAGAAGCAGATATCCCTCTGAACGAACAGGAAGTTTCAATCAAATGACTCACACTCGATAAGTACAAAATTAAAATCAAGACTACTATTAAGAAAATAAAAGAACTACTACGAATACCTTAGTTCTAAATTTCTGGCCTATGCCACCAACAGTATGGTCCATTTCGAAAGTGGCTCAAGTTCAAGCCTGTGTATTATGAAAAACAAGAACAAATTGTTTTCATCGGTAAACTCTCATCATTGGATTAAAGTCCAACCTCATGCCTCTGGAGGCGCCAATTTATGTTTTAAACTGGAAACCTGTGGTCTATCTAAATATATACTATAGTGCAATCAACTATTGCGCAAATACTGAGGAATGAGAAAGCTTCAATTGCACAATTAAGGTGCCAAATGCCTCTTTTTCATGATAATTTATAATTTTATTATATAGAACCAGCTACAATTATGTAAGTCTTCTACAAATTTCTATCTTCAATACAAGAACTTTACTGGATGAAACGTCAGAGCAAGGATTTCTTAAAGAGGCAAAATTATCCTATATGAGATTTGGGTTAATACAAACCGAATGTGATTAGAGAGATATTAGTTCAAGAACATAAAAAGGGTTGCTAGTGGAACAGCCTGAAAGACAACAGGATATGTGGGAGGTCTAACATAGGCCATGGCCCCCCATAAAGACAGTAGGATACCAATATTGTTCAGCTTATATTTACATAATTGCTTTCCTTCATATAGCCTTCTCTAGTATAGAACTAAATTTTTAATGTTCTATTTTAGTGCACTGTATTCTTATTCTTCTTTCATAACTTGAAATCATAACTTTGTGTTCATATTAATTAAAACAGCACTTACTTTCTAATTAAATCAACTGCTTTTACTTGAGACTTAAAGAACCTTTGCTACATCCTGTGCAAAAAAGATAATTCAATTCTACATTCACTCTTGCTGGAAAGAGTAATTCAAAAGTGGCTACCCAACATGATACTACTCCTATCCAAGAACAACAAACTAGAGATCTTTACCCTGGTTCCTCAATATTTTAGCTTATTTAATTCCTGAGTTCACGAGAACAATTATTTATGGTACCTTATTTGTGCATGAGAATGACTATATTAATTTGGAGTCATGACACACCCCCTGTTCAGGGTGTGGGCAATATCCACAATAACCTATGTTTTGCATGTATGCATCAATAAGCAAAATAGGTATTCGTCTCCAATAAGTATTTGATAGTTCGGCAATTGATGGGCACTTAAAGGATACCTAACATCCAAAAACTTCAGAATGTATGCTAAACATATCAAAGATGTATAATATATGTATCCGAGATTAAAGAGTTGAAGTTCCAACACATGAATGGTAGACCATAGTTTCATGTGACTTGTATGCATTTCATAAAACCTGTCCATCTTCTTAACTTGGAAATCTTTTATAGTAACTGGATTTGGTGACTCCTCAACCACCATTGCAATTAAGTCCACCTTACAGATATACAATCTTCTTTTCATATACATCACTTATATTCACATACATGTTCATACCGTTTCCATATCTCGTATATGTACAAGTGTTATGGGAATGTGAAGATAGTCTCTCTTTACTATAAAGGTGGCCTCAAATGATTTAGCAGGTGTCGTCACATCATTTCAGCCAGGCAAAGCCCCCCATCCCAGTGGCACCTAGTCTGGGATAGCACTTAGCCTAACCAATATGGAGCAATAATTGATTCTTGAGTATACAAATATTATCATTAGATGCAAGAAAATCACAGTCGCGCATACACCACACAAGACTATTCCCACTTTGGTAAGCGACAGTGAAAGCAAGTCGAATTTGGTCAATAAAATATTAACTAATATAATATTAATATGATTTTCGAATCACAACTGTAATTAACGTGTGAAGGTGATTTCAGCACAATTTTTTATTTCCTTTACATATACTTTCAGCATAACGTATGCTACACGGGTACGGTTGCGGATAAAGGACACAACAAATTTGTAAAAGGTAAAATACAGAGACATGACTCACATAACTATATATACATATTGAAATTAGTAAATACATGAGCTTGTTTTGTTTTACATGTCATGATTCATGAAAACTAAAGTTCCTAACATTTTCATGTTTCATTTATTAAGTAGATTATACATAGGGAAACCACTCTTTATTTAACTTGATACCTAAATGGCTCTTTTAAATCATACCTTTGAAATGAGCACGGGCTGAAACGAACTTGACTATGTCTTGCAGGAGGTGGATGTGAAGTATAAGATATACATCCAAAAAGTAAATGATGAGTGTTTTAAACTAAAACATGTATTACATAATTGAATACACGTCTGAATAAAAGCTATTCTTTCAATAGAACAGGATCCTCACATCCACAATGGACCTTCGCGTTGACTACATGACGGGTCCTTCACTCATGCGGCTTTCTGTTATAGATGCAGAATGGTTGGATGGAGTACCCGGTACCCCTCAGTCAATTAGTCTAGCCTACCTTACGAGTCAGATTTTTTCCAGAATTCTTGACTTCTCAAGTCAAATGCAGATTCCAAAATAGTGGATAATAAGGAAATCACCAGTGTCCAAGGATTGTTGGAGTAACCTAGCCCAGACAGATATGTGAGCCAAGACGAGGTGTCGGGGTAACCTAGCCCATAGTTCCTCAGAAAAACAATAAAACTGTAGGGTAATCAAGGAGACATTATTTGAAATTTCAAACAAGAGGACCAATTGTCATGATCTGAGCTTTTGAACTTTAAATAGGCGTTGAAGTTGTATTATGCTTAACTTTAAGAAGATTTATAGGTACATTGTATC